AGGGAGTGAGGGGGAGGGGGGTGGAGAAATATGAACCAAACGAGTCACAACAGCCTTTGTATCAGCCTCAATAATACCACAGTCTTCCACCAGCAAAACAGTCAAACACCATAACTTCAGTGGTACAGTAGCTGCTTTCTATTCCTCCTCTCTCAGTGAAGGCCGCAGTTTATCGCTGTGGCAGCGTGTGGTTTCTTGACAGACCACACATGACAGATAAAGTATGACAAAGACTGGTGAACAATGTTATGGAGCTATAATGGTGTATCAAATTGTGTTCTAAGGTTCCAGCGTATGTCAAAGCTATACTCACATTTAGCTGAAGCCCTGTTGTTAAATGATACAAGTGTGTGGCACAACACAGGCAGGTAGAAGGGCAACGGACCAGAACTACACCTGCATGCCTGCACTGCATCAAGCCATTGTAAAGGAGACGCTAACATGAATGAAAAATATAGAAAAGAATATATAAATAGGAATACGGATGATCTGAAGATGAGTGCACATGGACAGTGTGCATGTGGAGATATTCCCCTGTGAAATAATTTAAGTCAGCTGTATTTACTGCAGTGCTGTCATAAAACCCCTGCTGGGACTGTGTGTGTGTTTGTGCACGTCTACACTGCACTGCTAAGGTTTTTGAGACTGTAAATCTTAAATGGGCTGTTTCTGTACCAAATGGAGATAAGAGAAGTAGCTCCAGGTTATGTAAGGTTATTTAGAGACTGTCCATCCATTGCCATAGTAATGGCCTGAAGTTTTCTGCTGACATTCTTATGTGCTCTTCACCTTACCTAGCATTTTCTTTTCTGCTGTAATTATACAGATATTCTCTGGAATGAACTAGAATGCAAATCATTTACATCTCCTGAATTAAGCATTGCAGTCTGGTCCATTTATGCACAAACACACATTAAAATCATGGTTCACATACAATATACCCACACAATAACACACACACACACACTCAGCTTGTCTGTTTGTTTGAGTTACTAATCGTTAATTTACTCAGGAAGCTCCATTAAGATTTTAATCTTGCTGAGAGGAAAGCAAGGCAGACAGGAAAATGCACACTGACCACAGTGTGTGTGTGTGTGTGTGTGTGTGTGTGGAGGGAGTCATTCTCTTGAGAACAGCTTGTACATGTGTCCATCTGCAGTTTGTCTTTGTTTCACGGTGCATCAAATGTTCAAAGAGGCTTTTCAGCAGAGAATGACTTCACAGTGCAGCAGTTGCTTCGGTCTCTCATCTGTCTGACCCTGCAGAGAGCTGACTACACACCACTGCCCATCCTCACATGGTTCTCTTTCTGCGCAAAGCTGTTTTTACATTTCCAGCATCAATCTTATCCCAGCTATAGCTTTGATTTTGCATATTTAGCTATGCTTTTGTATTTTGGCATTCCTTCTTGTCCTTAAATTACTTTAAATGCAACACTCTT